AGGATCTATTGCCTTACAGATTTAGTGAAACTAAAGGCAAGTGCTTTGAAAATACCCCCCCCCCTTTCCTCTCTGGATACTCTGTATGTAGAACAGTTTTTTTTCCTTTGTTTCTGCCTTACCTCACATATTTTCCTTCATCTTATAATAGCAAACTAGGAGCTGTTGTGACTCTTTAATTCACACGAGCTAAGTTTCTTTACAAAATAGATTCAAAGTATAGAAGCCCCACTAGAAAACACTACAAACAAATAGCAATGCTAAGCAAATACTTGCTATCCCGAGAAAGGGCTGATTTCCATAATTATCAAAAAGCATGTACAAGTCCAAAAGAAAACTATAAGAAAGTGGGCAAAATATAGCAACAGAAAGAACACAGGGAAGAAAGTAAAAATGCTCAGCCTCACTCAAAGAAGTGAAAATTAAGAAAAACAAAATGTTTTTTAATGTATCTGATTGGCAAAACACAAAGTTTTAGAAGATGTACTGTCAATAAGGGTAGTATCTGGACATACATATGTACTGGTGTGTGTGAAAACACGAGCAACCTTATTGGGAAGACTGCTTAGAGTCCCTATTAAATTTTGCATGCACGTATCCTCTGGCCCTAAAATTTTACTATGCATAGTATTGCAATGTGTAAAGTAATAAAAAATGGAAACCCAAAGACTCACTAATAAGTGACTAATTAAATTACATGCAGACAAACAATAAAATACTCTGAACAATAGCTCTGTTTGAGCTCATATGGAAAGATATTCAAGGGTAAATTTATTTTTTTCTAAAGTTAAAAAACTGTGTTTACTATCACATTTATGTTTTTTTTTATTTCATGCACGTACACACAAACTAATAAAATATCTGAAAGGACACAGGTGAATAATTATTACTTATAGCTTCTAGGGAGTGAGACTTGAAGTGGGAAATAATTCTCATATTAATGAGAATTGACATTTTTTCACTTACACCTTTTAAAAACTTAATGTTTTTAACAATGAGTTTTTTTCTACAATGAGTAACTATATAGCAACAAGTGTTATATGCCCTTCAGGGATACAAAGTACAGTAGGAACTCAAACAGATGGAAAGAAAGGAATGGGGGAGGGTGGGAGGGAGGAAAAAAGGAAGCCTTCGGAAGTAGTCAGCCCATCCATGTAATGTAGGAGTTCAGTGCCTTCTTCCCTCAAGTGCATGTACTGTGTCATTCTTGCTCTGTGGATAAGGGGCCAGCATGACTGTGTTTGACACACCTTTTCGTCTCTTGCTCACTCAGCCTGCTGGCAATCCTCCACTCCTCACACAAAAGGAAAGAGTCAAGTCAGAAAACCTAAGGGGAGAGACTGATTAAGGACACATGATAGAGAATAATCCTATCTAATCCTATAAAAAGGGTATGTATAAAAATTATGAGACCAAGGAAACAGGTTTGATGCTTAAATTTGATCATACCTAAACTAAAAGTAAAATTATCTTCCTTATTAGGAGTTGGTGATTGACAAAACTGCCTAAATTTATCCCCAATCCTTAGTCATAACCAGCTATTCTAATATAATAGGGCTACTGAAAATTTCCTACTGTTGTATCTCTACCATGAGTACAATCTACTAGAATTGGAATCATTTGTCCTTCATCATGCTCCAGGGCGCACCATGGTCCAGCTCCCTCCTCTCTGAGTCCCGCTCCCTATGGTGGAAAATGGCTCACTCAACAGCTCATTCAATAGCTATTTCATGCGAAAGTTTGTAATGCTCACTGTGGAAACAGTGGCCCCCACTCTAGTCTTCATTCCTCTGTACTTTCAAGACGCTTCACATGGAGCCAAAGTACATACCAGGAGTTCCTCAGCTTTTCAAAATGTGACCAAAAGTGAGAACTCAAATTACCTTTCATTTAAAATAAACTGGGGTTTCTATCTTATATATTTCCCCGTGACAGTACTTCTCTTACTCTACCAGCATTTGGCTTCTGTGCTTGCAATACACAAAGCGCTGTAGGGGTGCAAGATGAATAAGACCTAGCTCGCCCTTGAAGAACTTGGAGTTTTACAGACGCATTAATAATTCGTGTTCACTAAGTGCTATTCTCAACACTTTACAAGGAAAAAAAAAAGCTATTTAGTTCTTATAATAACCCTATGCTGGGCTGGGAGTAAAAGGCAGAAAACTGTACTTGAACAACAATTAAAATTTAAAAAATAATAATAATAACCCTATGAAGTGGGCACCATTATTGTTACTCCCAATGTTTAAAAAGAAAACTGAAGCACAGAGAGCTCAAGTACTAGCCCCAGGTCAGACTGCAAATCTCTGGCAGACCCAGGAAGGGTGCTGGCATCGGTGCCTCAAGCACTGTGCTCTGCTGCCTCTCGGTACACAAAGAGCTTTGTGCGCTCCAAAGCAGCAAGTGTGAAATGCCCTTCAGTGATACAAAGTACAATAGGAACTCAAACAGATAGCATATGGGGGCTGTTCATAAGGGCACAAGGCCAAAGCACTTTAAGGAAGATTTTGACAGGTGCAATGCAGGCAATAATGGCAAGGGATATAGGAGAAAATTTTCAACACCCAGAAATATAGTGAACAGCGTGTGGTCTAATTAAATGTATTTTATTTTTATTAAATCATTTATTCTTCCTAAATATGCAAATTTTCAGCTGCAAATATAAACTAGCATTACATGTAAACTAGGATTAATTTTTTTAGGAAATAGTATGGTGAAAGTTAAAGGAAAAAGTTATCTCTGCTTTATTGTTTACCTTTTATCAACTCTTCTTAAGGTAATAGGAAAGTAAATTATAGAATAATATGTACTATTATTCTACATGCATGTACTATTGATATAGATATATAGGTATATAGAGAGATGATAGATAGATAGATAGATAGATAGATAGATAGATAGATAGATAGATAGATATTTCATCAGTTCACTGCCTTAATTTTTCAGGTAGGAAAGTCCACTCGGAAAAGGTCAGTGGCCTGCCTAAACTTACTCAGTGAATTAAGTGGCGCTGCCTTTATCTGCATGCAGAGCTCTGCACTTCCAATCTATAGCTCTTTGCTCAGCATGGTCACAGCCTTAGTCTGGGACATATTTTTCTTATTTTATTTCATTTAGCACCAGAGAAACCCAAATCAGAAAAAGGTTTTCCAGGTACCTGAGCAAGGAGCCAAAACAGGATACTTAGGGCATCAAGCTCATTTCATGTGAAATCCTTAGGCTTTTATTCCCTCCTTCTCCCCTTGAGAACATTTCTTCCACTATGTCCTGAAGGGTAATTAAGGAAATATCAAGACATTTGGGGTCACAATCAATAGATACCTGATATCTAGATTCTGGTTGATCTTCCTAAAATGTCATGGTAACTTTTGTTCACTAGGGTTTGGTAACTGGGGGGATAAAGAAAGAAACTGAAAAGACAGCTGTGCTGTTCCCTCTGCAGGAAAAACATAGCTAAGCCAATGTGCATGTGTCTCTAAACAAATGCTCATGCCACATTTCCAGCAGGATGTGTGCTGGTGTCTATTTGAGGCTTTGCTCACAGTATTTAGCAAGTGGTCTAATTGTTGCACACTGTGGCAGAACAGCCCACAGAGATCTGTGCTCACAAGCTGAATTTATATTCTCAGGGACATGCTAATTAGTAACTTTCTGGAAAATATACAGTAGTCACTCTTGGCTTGTTATTTTTCAAACTACTGAGAATCCAAAGGGCAAACCTTATATTTTATGCTTTGAGGGACATTGCTTTATACTTTCCCCAATGAGTACATTCTTATGAAAAGGCAACTCTGCCAGGTATGAGCAGTAAAGATTTACCAAGTTCCATGAAAAGTGAGGGGAGACCCTACAATGCTGGTCGCCAATCAGCTACCCCTGCCCAGCCACCAACTGTCGACACCTGCCACAGTTTGAGGCTGCTCCACAAGTTTGGCTTGGAAGCTAGGGCCAGAAGACCGAACTTGAAGGTCTAGGGCCCTCCATAGATGTTATTTTTAGGGAAGGGACAAAAAACGGGCAGAGCAGAACCATTCAAGCTCATGGGATTCTCCTCTGAAGCCTACCTTTGCAAATGAGACACTGCCTGAGTCATCTAGCCCAAAGCTAGCTTGTTTAGTAAGTTAACAACTCCAGAGACATGATTTACCATTAAATTTATCATTCAGTGAGGGGTAGAATAGCCAAATTGGTAGGAAACCTATTATAATAAAATAGCTTTGATGACTTTTTTGAAGATAAAGAGGTAGAAAAATAAAAAGAAAGATGATAAAGATGTATATGACACAGGTATAATCTATATAGAGATGATTATATGTATTTATCTCTCTAATTAGTTATTTTCTTAGCCAATCAGAGAAAGGGAAGAAAAGGAAATGTGGGAATCTCCTCAGTAAATAATATTATGTATATTGAGTGACATGTTGGCATTCATTTCAATTTCTCTTTGAAAAGAAAAGAAACTAAGTACATTAGTCTCTGAAAAAGTGCTTCTTTTAGGTCAAAAGTAGCTAATTATCTGAGAATAGGACACATACCTCCAGAAATTAGAAAGATGTTTTTAAAAGTAGGGAAGGGAGTGTCCAGTTTCTGTTCAGTCTCAAAAGACACAGAATTGAAAGACTCATGATTATTATAATTACTATTGCAACTCACATTTCTTGAGGAATTTACTAAATACTATTGTTTCAGGCACTTCACATGAACTGACTCAACCCTTGGTCCACCACAGCAATCCTCTAGGTTGAAACAGAATAGTGAAGGATACTTCCTCCAGCAAAGGGAGTGTTGACTTTAAGGACCCATTTACAGAACTGAGGAAGTGATGAGACATCCGTAGGTGATGCAGGAGGGCTACTTGATGCTGTGTATATGTCTGAATGTGCAACTTGGGTTGCCATCACAGGTATAAATTTATATAAATTGGGTGATCAGTCTGCTTTAATAAAATGTGTATCTGACCATTGGGTTGTAGAAATTTCAAAGATTTTATTTTTTGACAGGATGCCTGCCGTTTTTCTCTCTTGATTCCCGCTTGTTTTATTCATTTTGGGGTAGTTGCCAATTAGACCAAATTGGTAAGTATAACTGATGGACAACATGAATTTCCTCTTAAACCCCAACCAAGAGAAATAACCATAGAAACATTTATTTCTTTTAGAAATTTCTAACAATATCCTTCCCAATGACTGCTGCTTATCTTTGTCTCTTCTAAAACATCCAAACACATCAGAAATTAGTTTCACCCTATTATTTATTATCCTAAAATACACATAAGATAGGATGGAAGGAAATGAGCATTTATTGAGGTCCTCATATGTTCCAGGCACCATGCTTGGTATTTTTATACATATTACCTTTTTTAATACTCACAAAAATATTCAAGGAGGGCATTATTATCTTCCTAGGCTGATGTGATTCTCAAACACTTGCTCTTTTCTCCCTACAGAAGAGTTATTTCACTCAACAAGACACTCCCCTAATATTCTGTTACATTGGAGGATTTAGAGGGCATTATTTTATTCAATAACTACAGTCATACTTCAGTATTCATCATTGCAGAACTCTCATCAAACTCTGTGCTCTTGCATTTTGACAAGAAAAAAAATGCTTCAGCACTTGTCGCTTGCTTGGGACTTGTCACACTTGCTAGAACTCATATGAGTCACTACACTACCCTGCAAGAGACAATGCTTCATTATTCAGTACTCGTGGGTTTTGGAACTCATCACAGGTTCCGGAACAAATTAATGATAAGTACTGAGATACCACTGTATTTGAACACAAACTATGCCAGACACATTTTTGAGCATTGGTTTAGTTGGAATTAGTCATTGGAAGAGCTTTGGGCAGAGGATGGTGATCAGTGGAAAGATGGTGGAGGTGCAAAGTTATAGCATGAGTGGGGAGGTAGGACAGTGTGATGGCCTGGAGGGTGGGGTGTAGACAAACAGAGGAGCTCCTGTTCCTGTTCCCATGGCTACAGTCTTTCTTCATGTGACTCGTGGACTTCCCTTTGTCATCCTATGCCTGAGAATATATGAAGGAGGCTGGGAAGGCAAAGGGACGTTCAATTGTCATCACCAGCATCTTATTGATCATTGCACCATCATCAAATGCATTGGGGTAACCATGACATGAAATTCTCCATCTCTGAGCCCATAACTGTTCCATGAGACAAATAACAACTCTATAAGTTAGAGGTCATAGTAGAACTTCACCTAGGGAATTCTGGAAGTAAGAATTTATATTCTCATAGGCTGACAGGCCTGGGTTCAAATCACAAGACTTGAAAAGGAAGTTAAACTTTCTCTGGGCAGGTTACATGTGTATCAAGAACATATCATTGCCATCTGCAGGTGCTCTAACCCATTCAGCCCAATCATTCAGACTTTCTACTGCTGGTAGAAACCAATCAAGTAAAAGACCATCCAAAATACAAATACCAAATTCATGATCAGTGAACTTTAGATGTGATGAATTGCCATTTTTCAGATGTTTTCAACTGAGTGCTTTTCAAAGTTTTCTCTGCCTTTTAAAGAATTTTTCCTCTGAAGAATAAGACAGCACAGTTTAAACATCTACTCTCTCTTCATCTTGGCTTGACACAGTTGTGTGTCACTGAAATATTTGTCATGCTTGTTAATGGAAAGTCTCTTTGTCAATCAAGACAACAATGGAATCAAACAAAAACATTGGAAGAGTAGAACAAATTTTAGCGATACCGATTTCTTAAGGTTTGCCCGTCTTGTATATCTGACTCATTTTCCAATTCAAGCCAGGAGCCCTATGTTTTTGAAGAAAAAGCCTTTTTCGAATTAGTTACTCACTCAGGCATTGGGGCAATTCCTGTAAACAAATGAGTCTGAATGGAAGAAGCGTCCGCTACTCTGATAAGATCTTAGATTCTTTTACATGCGGGGAAGAATGCTGAGATCTCCTTGCAGATCAGAAAGATTTGGGTTGCAAATGTTTGATGGGCATTTGGTCTCAAAGTCAGTGAAGTTTACTTTGCTGGTCAGATTGAACAGGTTCCTTTGATGATAACAAACCTCCTTTTTGGGACCCAATTTCTTCCTGGTTTCACTACCAAAACAACTTTTGTATCTTTTAATTTCTTGTTTTGCTAGCTTCATCTCCTTCAATAATGCATGTAGGCCTTATGTTGCACCCATTCCAAGCTATTTGCAGCCTCCTTTAAATGACATAACCTGTCAAATATATTCTTGTCCTGTCTTGACATTTGGTGAAATTCCAGCCTTTCCTCTACTTATTGGCAAAACCTACACTTCAAGTCTCAACTCAAAAAACCTTCTCTTCTAGAAAATCTTAACATAAACCACACACGCACACCATGATGCTTTTAGGCTCAGTTATTCATCACATCCTCCATGCCCCCATGGCACTCTATGTAAACCTCTGCCGTAGCACTGCCTTTTTCTGATTGAGTGGTTGTCTGTCCACCTATATGCACTGCCCCATCACCTGTAGATTGTGAGTTTCTTGTGTGCAGAGGCTGTCTTACCCATTTTTGTCATCCTGTAAGCCAAGCACAGTCCATGGCACATGCAGGCAGGTGCTCAATAAATTTTTATAGTAAACACTGATATTTGGCTTTCTGGCCTTATTTTTAGATCTGATGCCCAGTCTGACATAAAAATGTAATAGACAAGCTTAGATATTAAAGGCTAGAAAGAAAAGACTAATGATAAAACAGTAATGCCTAGAAAGACTTGGGGAGGACACATAAACAGGGACGTGCCCAGGCGAAGGCCACCATTCATGCTTCTGTCGTGTGCATGAAAGCATTTACTCTGGGAAATTTTACTGTGTTCCTCTTCTCACTGTTAAATCATTTTCATCTTATGAATTTAGAAAGGTTAAGGATATATTTTTATAGCTGCCAATGCCATCATGGCTTATTACTTCCATTGACACAGAAAAAGAAATACCTATGGATTTTACCCCAGTTATTTAAAGTGATAGTCATCCATGTCTGTTTTCGGTCTAGACTAGGATCAATCTATTTCATAGAAATACATAGGTAACTTTAGAAAGACAAAAAACCTAAAGTTAATGAGAAAACTTGTGCTATCTGAGTGCTTTTCTGCCATAATCAACAATGTTACAGTGAGCTATATTTAGAGAAGTTAAAGTATCTCATTCTCTAGGGGGAGTCTTAAAAAAAGTAAAGTGAGATTTTAATTTGCTTGAGATGGCTAAGGCCAGGGAATTCAATCATAGGACCCTTCAAAGCCCCTTCCTAGTACTGAAAATATTTTTACCATCCCTTCAAAAAAAGTATTTGGAACATTTCAAGCCATTGAAATAAATGGACATAAGAGTGAAGTATAATTCACATAGGCTTGCAAAATGACCAGCGATAGTGCTCCCAAGATGTCACTAATAGAGTTGTCATACATTTTCATGGAATAAAATCTTTTAACCTTGAACCCTTAGCTAAAGATCATTAGTCCCTGAGAGAAGTGAGGATAATAAACATGTTAGGCCCTATTATTGACCAAATAAGCAAGCAGCTGATTTTTTTTCTTTTTTGGCATCCATGGCTGAAACAAACAAGTGCTCTTTCCCTCACTGAACAGGCTGTCCCCGTTCTGTGAGAAGGCCAGATTTTAGAAGTTGCGTGCAGTTCCACATGCCACAACCCTGCAGGCAAACACCCATGCCCTAAGTCTCTGGTGGAGAGATCAACAATTGTTGTTAGCTAATGAGCCTTGGCCTCTCTGGGTCCACGTGGGGTTCTGTGGGCAATTCCTTCCAGAATGAGGCAGGGTGGAAAAAAACAGGTGCACCTTTGCTAAAACACAAGGATGAGGATTGAACAGTCAGCTTTTCTGGTCATCAAACAAATCTGAGCTGAACCCTTCTCATTAGCAGCATTTCTCCTACCCGGAGGAAGAACACAGAAAGTGCACACTGAATCGGGTGCACATCAGAACTTATTATGAAAGCCGGGGGGCAGGGGGGTAGATTCTGAAGGAAGCAGCAATTAAGCGTGGTGCGCCTGCCTCAGGAGTCTGGGGAGCTGTGGGAAGCACACTTCCCCTTGCAAATCCACTCTGAGATTCGCCTTTTGGGCACTCATGGAGCAGCACTGGTTTCGTTCTGTTGATTTATTTGGTTCCAGTATTCAAGGAATAAGAATCATTGTAGTGAGTATGAATTACTATTCATAAATTTAGGTATTTAGGAAACATCATGTAGTAAAATCTTTCCTTAATTCAAATAAATCTAATTCTAAACCCCTTTTGATCTCGTTTTTGTAAATTCAATCTTCATCTTTATTAGGTGTCTGCCTCTCTCCTCCCCCCCTCCCCCTTTCCTTCCTTCCTGTCCTACCTCCCACTCTCTCTTTCCTCCTTCCTCTCACTCATCTCTCCATCTCTCCCCATCTCTCTCTCTCTTTCTGAGTCTCCCTCCCTTCCTCCATCCTTCCTTTTCTTTTTCCTTCTCTCTCCCCTCACCTTTCTTCTCCTCTCTCTCTCTAACCCCACCTTTCTCATACTGACAGTATTTCCGCACAATTGGAAAAGGTCCTCTTAACTTCCCTCACCCAAGGTTACCATTCGATATACTAACTGCCTGAGCCTGCTCAGCCCCTCCCAGCCAGAGGCGCTCCCACACTGAGGAAAACCAGTGCTACTTTTGCCACAGCTGGTGTCACCAGTGACCAGGGTGCAGCCTCAGAATCAGCACCCCAAGGTGCACTTCCCAGCAGTCCCCACAGAGCAGATGCCTGTGCTGATCCCACCGTTAGGGAGCTACATTTGGGTGGAAGAAGACAGAAAATAAATAAATAAATAAACAAACAAACAAATAAGAAAGAGATGTAGTGTATTAGATAGTGGTAGTTCTAGGGAGAGACAGATAAAGAAGACAGTAAAGGGAGTGAAAGGAAGGAGCAGCAATTTCAACGGAGTGGTGGGAAGGCCTCATTAAAGGGGAAATTTGAGTAAAGACTTGGAAGAAAGATAGAAAAAAAAAGACTTGGAAGAAGTGAGAGAGCAAGCTATGTGGTATCTTGGGAAAGACCATTTCTAGAAGAGGGAATAGCAAT